TGTATATATATATTATATGCCATATGCTTATTTGGTTACTCCTCATACATCTCTGAATAAGTCTTCCCCTTTGCTTTTCTGCTGTTCGGGCAGATCTTCGAGCCGTTCCGGTGTTCTCTTTTCGAGGATGGGAAGGTTTAGCGGCATGGACTCACCTTTGCTGTTTATTTTTTCTATATCATTTGTGACAAGGAAGTGAGACACTTTCGTTGTGAGTTACAAAAGTTCCGCTGTGAAAGCACGGCGATATGGGCCAATGGGCCAATGGGATGTGTCCCGGAACCGGTGCCCAGAATTCTCTTCTTGACGTTCTGGACACCCGCGGGTGGATTCAGCACAGGCGCGGGCATGAACGCAAACGAAAGTTCGTGCGCACTGAAGCGAAATGCGAGTATGGATCAGAGATCCATCTCTAATTGAGCATGGACCCCAAAAACATGCAAATGCAACTTGCCTGCCCTAACACATTTTTCGTGCAACAAACTTACATGACTGTTGGAACTCGTGTAGGTTCTTTTGGACTGGTTTCGAAAGTTAATGCAACCACCGGCTGTTTGTTCACGGCGACGGATTCCGACGGACGTCTTCGTACAGGTATGAGTGGTGAAAGCCCCTCTCTCTATCACAGAAAACATGTTGCTTGTCAGTGACCCCGAGGTCACTACTATTCCGTTCAACACTGACAGTACTTGACTCTCGCTCGTGAATCCTTCACTTCACTTCCAGACTGTCGCTCACAGCCAGGCTTTTTAGAGAAGCTTGCACACGCTACAAGGAAGGCTACGTCAAGGAGAAGCCGTTTTGATGCCGTAGGGCTACGTGTTGTGCGGTGAAGGGTCGCCAAGTGGTTTTCCATCCTTTTTCTGAAACAGATTCTAATTCACTGACATGTTGGACCCTAGATGACTCTAGTCAAAAGCTTTGTCAAGGTTTGGAAGCCCTTTTCATCGTAAGCAAGACCTAGTGACCTAGTAGGTGTGGTATTTAGTTTAGATGTAGAAGACTACACGACACGAAACATGAAATGCCTGGCTAGTTCAGCGAGAGAGGTTTGTTAAACACCCAGGCCCTGCGAGTCTTGGTAGAGTCAATACGAGACTGGGTGAGCCCACCACCCGGTCCAGTATTACAAAAAGAATGCCAAAGAAAGGCAAGCATTAGAAACTACTAGTAAGGCACTTGTTTCTAATAGCTTCTTGTTTCTACTAGTAAGGCACTTGTTACTAGTAGCGATGCACCTGTTCCTAGTAGCGAGATGTTGATAGTATGATACATGTTGGTCAGAATTTCTGCACTTCTCTTTCTGATCTTCGCCCACACAGCGGTTGCTGTCCGGTTCTTGCGACGGGCGAGAGTGCGGCGGTCCAGGACTTATCCAAGCTCGGCCGTGACTTGAATCATGCTGGGGGCCATGGTCGCTGGCACTTCCTCACAGCCGCTGATCGGAACCACATCGTGATATTAGTTCTATATAATATAAATCAACATAATACAACATCATATAGTTTTTGAATGTTTTGATAGTTTGTGTTTTCACAATCTTGCAGATATTGAGGTGATCATCATAGACAACATGCCCGGCCCTTACGAACCCTCTGTTTTGTTCGTTTTTGACTTGAACGTGGTGCCTTCAACCATGTCGCTCGTGTCGCTTCGCAGGCCCATTTGTTATGCTCTCCAACCGCACAATGCCATCCCAATCCAAACGTCAGCTTCCTAGCTGGGCGGCCGCCCTTGATGGGTGTGGTACCAGGGAAGGTGTTGATGAAACATGATGAAACCAATGCCATTGCGGTGCATTTTAGGATAATTTTTAAGGGGTATGGACCAACTGTATCCAATTGTAGTGCTCATGATTTGTAATGATATATGAATACAACAATTGCAAACAGGTTGTCCGCAAATGTCCGCAATTGCAAACAGATGAACCATTGCTCTTGCAATGCGCTATAACAACCATTGCAGCTGTTTCAACAGGTGTTTCCTTTAACGCCAACAGCATTGGGGTTCCATGTCCCTCTCCTTGGGTCCTTGGGTCTCAACGTGCCCTGTGACGTAACGCAAAAAAGGGCTCCACCGCGGGCTGCCGAGAACATACTGCAAAGAAATGGCCGGAGAACCAACCTTCGCGTGTGGGTTGTCATCCAGTCAGTGACTTATCCGGCTTCCTGTATCTGTTATATTAAGTCACATCCCAATTTGGAGTCCGTGACCAAGTTATAAGTTATAGTTATATGCATTAAAACCCCGTGGCATATATGACATTGCTATTTTCCATCGTTCTTCAGTTTCTTCTCATCCAAAGAGAGTTTGTCACCGCGGCCGCCTCTGCGGACGTGGAGGTGGAAACATGATCCGAGTGATACGGAGCTACTTGACTTGTTGCCGAGCTCTTAGATATGACCTCCCTGGTTTGAGCAGACACACCGAGAAACCACCAGGATGTTTGTTCATTCGGTTTGTGACATGTACTGTGTATGTCGTGGACTTCATCGAATCCTAGCCAAGGCCCATTTTGATGTCCCTGGCCAGGGTAGTGCTCCCTGCCTGTTCAAGCGAAGATGCTCAAAAAGACATCAACAAACATATTAAAAAACACATATAAAACATGAAACAAAACATGAAAAGAGCAGCGACAAGAGTGCTCCCTGCCATTTCTGTTTCTGTAGAGTCGATCATGAACTTGGATTTGCCAGAGGCAGAGGTCCGCTTCCCATGGCATCCAAATCTTGCCAGGATCAAATCCCTCGCATGCTCCAATCCATCCTTTGTGAAGCAGAGGCAGGGTCAGGACAGGAGCAAGGACGCTACTAGTAGCTACTAGGAACAAGAAGCTACTAGTTTCTAGTGCATCGCTAGTAGTAACAGGTGCATCGCTACTAGTAACAAGTGCCGTACTAGTAGTAACAAGAAGCTACTAGTAACAAAGGGCATCGCGACTGCTCCGGAGCACCTCCTCTCCGATGTGGCAGGGTCAGGGGGACGGAGTGTTAGCCATCAGAGCTTGGACTCCCGTGGTGCCATGGGGTGCCAGTTGGGTTTCGTGCTCCTCTTGTGTAAGAGGGCCCCAGAAGCAGCACAGGCACCCATCGCAACCAGTCCAGAAAAACCCATGCGTCGGCAGTTGACCCCTTCGACTAATGAAAAAAGCATCAGATGAATTATTATTGGCAGTTGGGTGCCTGCTGCCTGCAGCTCAACGCTGGTAAGCCGACCTGCGACTGCCATATGTTGGGAGATGTTGCTCTGTGGTTGCTGCTTGCTTTCAGCACTTCGAAGGGTTCTTGACAACCCATGATGTCTTGACAAAGACTGACGAGAACCCTAGCTCTAAGGGGATAAACCTTGTTGCCATGCACTGTTGTGTTTTGGATGCTGCTGAGTCAGAGGGATGGATGCCTCCACGCCTTTCTGAGTTCGAAAAAAGGCCATCACTTGGATCATCTTGGACCCACCTTCCAGGCGGAGGAGGCTGAGACGGCCAAGGCTGAGACAGCCACGGGTTGAGTGTTTTGAAGCTTTAGGGCGCCGAAGAGGGCCAAGTCCCAAGACTCACTCACCAAAACGGGGAAAACGGGCTAGTTCTTGGGAAGAAACTGGGAAATCCCCCCACCCAGTGCGTTTTGGCTTTCTTTTATTCGACCGACACCTCGTTGTGTGATAATGTCCATACAGACATCAACTCGGCAAGATTCACTTGTGGAGTGTGGCCAGCACAAACTCGAGTCCATGCTTCATGCTTAACTTGCGTTCGCCTACGGGGATGTCTCAAACGTTAAGGCGGACGCAAGAGACTAAAGCCATGTCTAAGTACAACACAAATACTGAAGCCTCATTGACAAATGACATTATTGCAGCAAGGACATCAGTGCTAAACTACCTGACTTCCCAGAAAGCTGACTGTAAATGGTCCACATACCAGGATACATTCATGTTCAATTGACAAGCTGCATAGTTCCTATGCTTCTTCATGGTGATGTGCGGTTTTCGTGCACGCTTGCCGGTGTTTTGTTTCTTTTTGTGCAGTTTTTTTCACCATCAGGTGACGGGAAACCTAACAAACACACAGATAATAGGGAACAACAGGGACACCCTCGGCTTGTCCTGTTCAATGCATTTTCGTTGTATTACATTTATGGCAAATTGAGTTGCCATGCTTTGTCGTTTTGCGGTCAGTGCCTTTTGTATGGCTTTGTCAGAAGCATTTTGCTAGTCTGAAAACGTGCTTGATTGAAGCAAGAGTTCGCAAAACGAGATTTGCTGCACTCACAACTTGTAGAGATCAGCAATTCTTTGCATGCAATTCGGATTGACTTTCCACAGCTTCCTGAAGGATATGCTGTGAGGCATTCCACCTCTGAGGACCTACATCTCATGATATTTCATGCTCCAAGAAAGAATATGTGCTGAGCATGCAGAGTGTGTGTCAATCTATATCAACCTCCTCCCTGAATGGGTACAGTGGATATGGCTTTTGTAGGGTGCACCGTCAACCGTCAACCAATCATATACATATATATATATATAGTAGCCCTTGGCCCATTGATATATATATATATAGAGATTATGTATATAATATATATGTGCACATGTTCCTTTGGTCAAACAATATCACTAGGTTAGGTTCGAACCATTGCCAGTCACAACGAGATATTATTTGATTGTGTGTTCCTTTGCCGAGCAAATCGGCTACTGCAGTCGTGGCTCGACATGGATTCATATTCAGATACAGTATATTCAGATTTGTGTGTCCCCTATGAACTAGATCAACTGTTTCATGATGCCTGGCAATTGAACTCCATCTCATGCTCCAGGCTCCTTCTATGGTTCATTACTAAATCGGTCTTGACCCTGTTGTGTCACTTCAACTTGAACACGTATACACATATCTTTGCAGTTGTCATCCCACTGGTGCAGATGGCAACAAAAACCCAATGTGTCACCCACTGCCGTGAACCCACGCGCACGCAACAGAACGTGGCACAACAAGGGGTGCATTGATGGAAGCCAAGCGCTTGACAGTGGCGCTTTGCGGACATGTGGACTCAGGGAAGACCTCACTTGCTGGAACCCTACTCTACATGCTTGGAAGGAAAGACCTGGTGCCATGCCTTGCTACCCCGGAAGAGCATCTTAGAATCATGGCAGAATCCGATAACGCTTCATGGGAAGATGAATGACAAGATGTGTTCAAATTTATCAAGAATTGAGTTCAAGGACCGCAAGTCATGGATGACATGTGTGCTGTGGGTCTTTCTGTTTTTGCTAGTAGCCAACCTTGCTCAGGAGGAATCACCATCACTTGCAAGAGGCATGAGTTCTTCACGGACAAATGGAACTACACGCTAGTGGATTGTTCGGGTCATCGCGATTTCATCAAGAGCCTTGGCCGACCAGTCATACAAGGTTTTTTTTGCCGTGCGAGCCGCTGGGGAAAGATCCTGCTGCTAATGGTACATTGCAAATCAATGTCAACAATCGATCTAAACTCTGAACAGACAGAATTGCAGTCTTGGTTCCATGGAACCTATCATTGAGTGCACGATCCAAGGAATATGTTAATGGGTGCCTCACAAGCGGAGGCTGCTATCCTGTTGGTTCCTGCTGACGGAAGCTTCACTAGCTCAGTGCAGCCAAGTAGCAGGGAATACATTGAAGGCGGAACGCGACAACATGGCCGGTTGTTGAGACTCTTGGGTATACAACAGATGTGCGTTGTGGTAAACAAGATGGATTGTGACTCAGATGCATTGGTGTTTGGCTGGACATTTCAGGCTCTTTGTTTGACAGCGAAAGGGCTCCACATATAGAGTAGCACATCACCTGATGCATTTCCTGCCTTTTGAAGGGAGCACTTGGATCCATGATGATCCCTGTCCCTGAAAAGAGCTGAATTGGACTTTCGTTTTTGATCACGGCTTGGACCTTAGGTGACCTCTTTTACGGAAGCGGCCGAGCACGGGAAGAGCGGTTTAATGAGATCAGGAGCGAAGTGAAGCGCTTGCTGGCAAAGGTCGGATGGCCCAAAGGAGTAGTCGAAACTTCCATTCCCATCCTGCCACTCTGTAGCCACACGGGCGACAATGTGATCGCTGCATCAAGCAACATGGCTTGGTGGCCAGGACAGGAGTTGCAGATAGGCCAGGAGACCATTCATGTGAAGACTTTGTACGATGTTTTGAATCAAGTGTTCCGGCCGAAGCAGAGCTCTCAAGCAGAGCTCCAGCCTTTGCGGATGTCAATCTCCAACGTGTATTGCACACCACGAGATCGTACCAAGATCGTGGCTGGCCGCGTAGAGCAAGGGTGCCTTCAAGCAGGTGAGGAAATCAGGCTTCTGCCAGAAGATGGAGATGAGAGTGAGGCCACTGTGGATAGCATTCAAATGTTTTCTCAAGCACGAGACTCCGCCACAGAAGGTGACCTCGTGGGCCTGAAGCTTGCAGGCTTGGGAAGAAAACCTTGATCTGGGGATGTGGTGGTGGCCAAGGATGACATGAGCTTCCGCAATGTCATTCGCTTCGATGCACAGGTGATGGTTCGGAAAAGAGAGATCAAGACTGGCTACTGTCCGCTAGCGATGGTTCGCTGTGCTCGCGCGCCATGCCGTCTTTGCTCCATACGATGGAAAATGAGCAAGCAGACAGGACAAGTTTTGCTTGGTGATCTACTGGGTGATTTGTAGTAGGTTATCGACCTGAGACAATCTGAGATTTAAGGGACGATTAACTTTGCGATTACTGTAGGGATTGTGATTGCTTGTGTTTGGGGGGCCGTGTCCTGACTCTTGGCTCATGGGCTGGCCCCAGCCTGTGAGGAAAGGCTAGGCTCTGGAACAAGGTACACGCCTTTGTCCGCCTGTCTTGGCTTGGAAAGAGATCAGATCAGCAAACGAGCGGCAGAAGCCAGCAATGTTGCGCTTGCTGGAACAGCCCTCCGTGCTGTTGTCCGTCCTCACTTCAAGAGCTTGTCACACTTCCAGTGTTTGCAGGGGCTGCAGGGGATTCTCTGTCAGTGCGTTTTGTGTTTTGCTTGTGATCCGTGAGATTCATGTTGGTGGTACGAAACATGTAAAACCTGCAAAGCGATACATACAAAGCTCATTCTACCAAACATTGTAAGGCAATATGGGACGCCCTGACTTTGGATGAGGACAGCTTAAGCAAGTAAGTTAGAAAACAATTCATATAACCATCACATTGCTTGAAGCCAGGCAGAGGCCTCAAGGGGGCCCAACGCAGTAGCTTTTGGTACGGAAATATAGGGTCGGGCTGCAGGTTGGTAGTTTTTTGTGTTTGTGCCCACTAGTAACTGTTTTCTGTCCGCACAGAATGTCTTTGTTTGTTTTTCCCAGCAGTTTTCAATTCATACAATGTCTTCATCATCACTTGAGCCATGACCTGCCATGACACAAAGCCCTCGTTCTTTTGCGTTCAGCAATGATCCCTGCGGTAAGCAGATTCTTAGGAGGTAGGAATCTTTCAAACTTTATCAAAATTTTCAGCAAAACTCCTTTCAGTTATTAGTAGTTTCTAGCTACTAGTAGTAGTAATGCCCTTGTTACTAGTAGTTCCAAATTTCAACATATTTTAACCATTGTGCAAGGAGATCAAAAGATCGATGCTCCAAGTGAGCTAGTCTTTGGGGATTTGGCACTTTGCACATTCGATGCCTGGCAGTCTTTTGGTCCTTTGTAGCCCTATTAAACGATAGCATATTTGTATGGGAACCGGCAGGTGATGTCATATGTTCTTTTTTGTATGTGTGACGTGTGAGTTCTATCGTCTTTGGCTCCCGATTCACCCCTCAGGAGCCATTGAAGCCTTTTCTGTGTGACTCCAGCACAGGGCAGTCAGTGTCCTTTTCCCGAATTATTTTCCTGGATGGTCATCAAGATGTCTTGCTCGGCAGGATCGTTCACTGTGAGCGCAAAGGAGAATATGCTGACAAAGGGGGCAAGAAGAAGTGAAGGAAGGACTTATCCAGGTAAACTTGCACATGTTGGAAGTCCTTTGAGGGTGTCTCCATTTCCATCCATTGCCATCTAATTGTATTGATTGGCAGAAGCAGCACACGCTCTGTCACGGGCTGGACTGGACATCTCCATGTCTTGAGGCTTCTTTGAAAGCATAACGTGAGAGACTTCTGCTACGAACACTTTGATAGGATGGCGACGTGCATGAGTGCTGCCAGTGAAAAGAATCACTCAGTGAAATAGCTCAAGTCATGGCACAAGGGCCATGGAGTGCCACACCATTCGCGCCAAGAGGGGGACGACATGGACGATCTGTCTTGGAGCTTCACGTCCATCGCCAGAACGCCGTCAGATCGACGCCGTAGACGCCGTGCTCCAAGGCTGCGAAGATGAAAGAATTCGTCCAGGTGAGGGACCTTTGGTGATCAACCAGGGAAATCAAGCTCCCATAACAAGGAACATCCAAGCTCCCTGGTTGATAAGCTCCCTGGTGATCAAGCTGGTTGATAACCTTGTTATCAAGCTCCCATATTGTGAGTCCTTTTTCTCGCAAGGCACATTTTCTCGCTGTTAGACCATGTTTGCACACGAATGTATGCCAAGATGTTGCCCGCCGCAGGCTCAGGGGCTGGAAAAAATAGATGGAACGTTGCATAACTTATACAGATACACAACTAATTATGCTACAACCCCCATGGGACTTCGGCATGCCGGTATGAAACATATTTGTACTGACACTATCTGACACTGTAATTGGGAAGATTACGCTCCCTGAGTCTTGAGATGTCTTGAGTTGGACCCGAAGATCTCCATTCATGGAAATTACGGATACCCATCTACGAAAAGGAAAGCTTCGTCCCGAATTCCAGAGAAGTGAGGAGACTTGGGGATGATTTTTGTTGGAAAAGATGTTTTCTTCTTGCAGCATGGTCTCGCCATGACCGAACCTCGCCCTCGGTGGGGAGCCTCAGGGAGGAAAGACGAGAAAGGAGGACCCAAGGTTTTGGGTGGCAGGCCTCCCTGCCAAGTCAAGAATTCACATTTTATGAACAAAATTGGGGTCACTGGGAAGTGGAGGTACGGGGACTCTCGACACTTTCTTGGATCATTTAAACATTTTATACGTCTATTTATGGGAACCATGTGTTGTATATTATAAAATGTAGATCATTGGGTGAGGAGAGACCCAGAGACAACCACTGGGCCGCGAAAAGGGCTTGCATCCCTTCAACTTGAGACCGCAGAAAGCTACAGGTCCTTGAGCCGTTCAAATGAAGCTCCAATCAAAAATTGGTTCCGCCGTTCTGGGTGAATTTCGTTGTATCTAAATTCGATCATTGTCATGAAAAAACACATGGGTTTCTGGAAGATGCTTTTAGTAAAGGTGAGCGCATTCTCGTTGAAAGTGGGCTGGTCTTTACAAGCCCTACCAGCTGTTGATTGTAGAATACTGTACTTGTACCTGCTTTCCAAGACTTTCCGTAGGAGTATCGAATATTGCGATGAAACTTGGTATCCTACAATGAAGAAGTTTGTACAGTAGGTATGGGTAGGGTGTACACTAGCAAATTTGTACCTGTGTAACGTACCCATCATATCCGTACACCATCGTACACCCATTGTTCCTAAACCTACCTGTACCCTGGCTGCCCATAGCCTTCTGTACCATATCCAAAATTTGGCTGGATCAAATCAAATCAAATTAATCAATAGGGTGTGGTTATTTTCTCCTACACTGACATTGCAGAGCATGTCTATTGAGTTTGACATTGGTTGACATCTTGCACGCATGGTGTTTGCGTGTGAATCGGGAGAATGGTCATCCTTGGCTACGCCAATCAATGATTTGGAATACATTTAATAGGACAAACTATCAATTAATATGTTGGACTCCTGTTGGACATAGAATGACATACACATGAGGATTCCCAGTCATGGCCGGAAGCGTAACTTTTCACCTGTTTCTTTTTCGCGCACTCTCACACTGTGAAAGTGACACCGGGCTTCTAACTAGGTAGATTTATGTTTGGGCAAGGTGCCTGGAAGGTGGCATTTGACGGAAGCAGGAGCCACCGAAGCCTGGTAGTACGATCCCAAATACGACCAATGGAGCCACTGTCGAATGCGGAAAGGACGATCTCACACAGCGTTCAGATCATGGAGTCTAGGGTGGTTGTATCTGAACCAATTCTAAGACATGGCACGTGTTTCGTTTTGTTTACCGCATCGGGTTTCGTTGGGGCATGCGACCTCGCACAGGTCAAACGAGGCTGGGACCACCGGCGCACTTCCGCGACATGAAGCCAAGCACCGATACTTCGGCCGAAGTCGGGCGACTGGGATCAAACGGGATCAAACCGGATGCCTTTATTGTTTGGTTTGATTCAACGATTCATGAATAATAAGAGATGTTGGACCAGATTTGGACCCAGATCTTGGGACCGCAGCAATCGGTGGTGGATCACATTTCGGTGGGTGTCATGCATGAGAGTTTCAATGATTGGCAGCACTCACCCAAGCCTGTAAAATCATCTATTCACTGCTGCGTGTTCAAGAGGAACCTGTAATTTTTTGTGCGACTTTTACGAGCTTTGTTGAAATATTATGTTGCATGAATAATATTTGCAAAGGTAAAGCGATTGTTAGAGGATGCTATACAGAGGATACAAAGGTTACAGCCCAGTTTGCTCCATCCCCAAGCAGACCATTGACGAGGAAACACCGTTTCGTGACCCTTTGGTACCGTGCCGGAGGCCGCCAGCGCAGCGGAGCAGCTTTGCGCCGCGGAGTTTGGGATGCCCAGCGTTTTGTTTGGTCAGGTCTTGGAGATGTCGAATGTCTTGGTCAGTCTGAGTCTGGTTACTTTTGGGGTGCCTTTCCGTTTTTCCATTGAACAAATATACAATATGCTTTTCCCGCCTATTTTGTGCTCCGTTTGATGCTTCAGACCAAACATCACAGGCTAGAAGCGCAAGACTGGCGCAAGCGCTTGCTCCAAGCAGAGGACAGCGTTTCACGCTGCACACTGGGAGATCGAGAACTTATTTCTGCTCATGGCCAAATGGCCAAACTACTGGTAGCAGGATTAGCAAGCATGGACACAACATGGAGCAACTGATATTGTCGTATTTGCAAGCACTTTTTTACAACACTCCAAAACACTACCTAAATTCCAACATGACGTTGGGCAGTCCAACAAAAGGGTGCTTTTTGGAATGGCCCTCCCATCCCTGCAACTCCGCAGAATTGGCCAGGAACAATTGAGCTTGGATCGATTGCAGCGCCGGGGCGAACAGCATCCCAGGCGGGGTCGTGCCAGGCGTGCAGGATGTGTGCCGTGCCGCAGGTCGCTTTTCGATCGTCGTGCGGACGTCACGTCACGTCACTTTTGGGCTATTAGCTTATTGTTTCTAATAGCAAACATTGTTACTACTAGTAAGGCACTTGTTACTACTAGCGTGGCACTTGTTACTACTAGAAACAAGGATGCTCTTCAACAGAGTTTATGGATTCATTCTTGCCACCAGCTGGTTGCCGGAGCTGGCTTGCCAAAAGCCGACTGTGCTCTTCATGCCCGGAAGCAACGTGTCGCCTTCCGGCCCAGGTGGCCTGCAAATTCCACCCAGCAGCAGAGCTTGTTGGGTACACATGCATCCTTGCAGGTGAGGCACTGATGGTTCTGGGCGTCAATCTTTGGGTTTTGGAAAAGGGATCAAGAAGAGCCCAGAAGAGCTTTGATGACATGATACAGTGGATGTCCCACAGCACCACTGACACCCTTCTTTGCCTTTGTTGCAGGCATCCGACCTTGTCAGTAACGTCAAAGAGGCGCGGATCGGTGGAGCATCCTGGCCAGTGTGTTGAAGGGTTTCACAATCTGAGGCTTACGCCTAAGAGCGTCAGGCGCAGGCGTAACCAAGTCCTCGTCCTCTTCCTTTTCCTCTGCTGGTTCCTTTTTCTCTTCCTCCTACCTTTCTCTTTCTCTTCCTTTTTTTCCTGTCTCTTTCTCTGGATGAGGAGAAAGCAGAAGCACAAATAGCACAAAGTGCTAATAATGCAAGGCCACTCGGGACTCGGGCAGCATATTTCGCACCATGCGCCTTTGAAGAGGACCTCACATCCATCAACATATCCATCTTGAAATCATATGGGAGCGCCTCCAGTGGTGCTAGGGATTTAGGGGGCTTACGCCTGCGGCCGCCGCGGGCTTGAAGCCAAGCACACCGCAGCGCCCGCTCCCTGAGGCGCGCGTGCGGGGTACCATGCGGTGCGCCTGGCTTTTATCCCACGCTGCCTCAATCCAAAGGGCGCCAGACTGGGTGCCTGACGTGCAGGGACTCGAACCCGGGACAAGCCTGGCGCAACGCTTTCCCCGTGAAAAAACCTTGACGGTCGCAGAAGAGATGAACTTAGACAAATGTCATTGCAGAGGCAGTCTTTTGGCAAGTGCTTGTCAATGTGGCACATCGCCCAAGGTTCACCGGAGCCCCTCAACAGGAACACGCCGGCCCCGATCCGCTCACGCTCACCTTCATCGGCCGAGACCGTGGTCGGCGGATTGGCTGTACCCTTCTAGGTTCTGTACCTGCTAGGTTTCTGATTGGTTCTAATCGAGAAATGACATTCCAATCAAGAAATGACTTGTGAAGGTGCAGCCAGGCAAGCTCTTGATTCTGACTGTTCCGGATAACGGAAACCTGTTGCCTTGGCTTTTGCTCCTCTGTCCCCTCCTGACCCTCCCCGTTTGTCAAGACTCCCCACTCATTTTAGGGTTGGTCACCCAGATTACAAGACCTTGGGGCACTGCAGTGTTTTTGTAAAAAATCCCATTAAAGGGTTTGGGCATCGCCAGGCTTTGCCCCTCTTACTGTAGATATATAAATCGGAAGACCATTCTTTTTGATCCACTTTCTTCGCTTAGAGAATTTGGACTGTGGCACAAGATGTCACACAGCCTGAAATGGACCCCAGTCTTCTGCGGAGGTTCTTTGGGA